CTTGTTTCCTGTTTACTGCTTATTGTTAAGGGTTTACAGTTTATTGTTAAGGGCTTAGGGTTTAGGATTTAGGGTTTAGGATTTAGGGTTTAGGGTTTAGGGTTTAGGGTTTGTGGGTGCAGGGGGAAGCTGGTGGGGGACTGGCTGGCGTTGGCTGCGGGTTTGCGGGGCTTCGACTTCGCCTGCAGCGGCGCTGCTCAACTTTTTGCTTCTTTTTGCATTTCGCCTTTAAATTCAAATCCAGTTAATCCTTTTGACGGAAGCAGAGACGACCTCCAGTGCTGTCCGCTGCTGCTGCTGCTGCTGCTGCTGCTGTTGCTGCGGTTGTTTTGGTGGTCGTGGTGCTGCTGCTGCTGCTGCAGTTGTTTTGCTGCTCCTGCTGCTGCTGCTGCTGCTGCTTGTGCTGCTGCTGCTGCTGCTGCTTGTGCTGCTGCTACTACTTGTGCTGCTGCTGCTTCTGGTGCTGCTGCTGCTACTGCTGCGGTTGTTTTGCTGCTGCTGCTGCTGCTGCTGGAGGGGGTCTTGCTGCTGTTGCTGTTGCGGTCGTTTTGCTGCTGTTGCTGCTGCTGCTGCTGCTGAGGGTCTTGATACTGTTGTTATTGCTGCTGCGGTTGTTTTGCTGCTGCTGCTGCTGCGGGTCTTACAGCTATTATTATTGTTGTTGCGGTTGTTTTGCTGCTGCTGTTTCTGGTAATCTTGCTGCTGTTGGTGCTGCTGCCAGGCGAGTTAATGTTTTTGCTGATGCTGCGGAAGCTGCTTGGGGCCTTGCTGCTGTTGCCGCTGCTGCACTGTGGGTCTCGCTGCTGCTGCTGCTGCTGCTGGGGTCTTGCTGCTATAATTCCAACACCAGCATTTCGCTGTTTGGCGACCTATTAAACTAATATATCTTTATAAATGATAAACGAACAAATGAAATAATTAAATAATTAAATAGATAATTATTTAATTTCCTGTTTCTTGCTGCAGTGCTTGACGCCGCGAGCGGCCTCGCGAGCGAAGGCTGGGAAGCTGCGAGCCGGCGGGCCTATTCGCTTATACGCTCTTTTAGGGTTTATGAGCCAAACCCTCGTTTCCTGTTTTCGAGGGTTTTGGCGTTCAACAAGGAAATCGAGGGTTTGCTGCAGCTGCTGGAGGAGCAGCAGCGTGAGTTCCAATTAATTAATTAGTTAATTAATTAATTAATTAATCAATTAATTTTATTTATTTATTTACTTTTTTTTGTTTATTTATTTATTTATTTTTATTTGCTTTGGCTGGTGCAGCAAAACCCCAGCAGCGCAACGAAGGCTCCACTTTGCTCTCTTCTTCTGTTTCTTTAAAAGCTTTCAAGAGAGCAAAAGCTGCCAACCAGTTGGAGGCCCTTCTCGCAGACGCCAAGTACTGCAAAAGTAGGGTTTATGGTTTAGGGTTTAGGGTTTCGGTCTTGGAGCTTGCGGTTTAGGTTTTAGGGTTTAGGGTTTAGGTTTTAGGGTTTGGGGTTTAGGGGCTAAGGGTGGGGTGTGCGGTTAACGGTTTGGGGATTGTAGGTTGGGTCTTGGAAGTTGGGGCTAAGCGTTTAGGGTTTAGGGTTTAGGGTTTAGGGTTTGGGAGGGGAAGAGATGCCTTTTCTCTCTTATTTGTAAATTCTTCAACTTCTAATTTGTAACTTTAGTTTATTCCTTTTTAACTCTGTATTAAATTTGTAAATTCTTTGTCGGTTAATTTTTAATTATTAATTTTAATTTATTCATCTAAACTTTTCGTTTTTTCTTTTTTGTTTTCTTTTGCTGCTAGGTGCGGAGCCCTGACTCTGGGCTCGCCCGAAGGCTAATCGACAATGCTGCTGCTGCAGCAGCAGCGGCAGCTGCTGCTGCTGCTGCGGCTGCTGCAGCGGCTGCAGCTTGTGCTGCGCCTGGATATAAGAGTCTAGGGTTTACAAACCCTAAACCCTCAGGCCCAGAGGTCGCACAACCGGAACCCTCAATTTTTGTTTTTTGCGTCTCTGCTGCCGCTGCTGCTGCTGCCGCTACAGTTGGCTGTAGCAGCAGCAGCAGCTGCTGCTGCTGCGCCCAGCACACCTGCTGCAGAGAACAAAGCCACGCCAATACCCGGGGGCCCCCAAGTAGTGCCTTTGGGGGGCCCCCCAGGCCTTGGTGGTGGCCCCCCTCGTTGAATTTCAGGGACCCCTAGGAACCCCTAGGGGCCTCTAGGGGCCCCAAAATTAAAACTGTTAACTACTTTGGGGGCGCAAGGTAGGGGCCTCTTCATGTTTAGTGGAGACTATCTTTCGTGCTGCCCTGGAGCTGGGATCGTATGGGATCGTGTAGGATCGTGTGGGGTCGTGTGGGGTCGTATGGGATCGTACAGGATCGTGTGTGGGGTCGTGTGGGTTTGTTTCGATTTGCGGGGGCCAGAAGGACTCCAAAAGATTAAAAAGGAAATAAAAACAAAAATAAAAAACCAAATCAACATAATGAGTTTAGAAGATGATAAGGATAATGAGAGGCCCGGGGCCCCACAGCTGCGTCCCGAAGTTGGTCTGCAGACTGCTGGTGATTAGAAACAAAAATAAAACGATGGTAATTCGGCAATCATTCCAATCACTAATGCTGCTGCTGCTGCTGCTCCCTGCAGCTGCAGCAGCAGCAGCTGCTGCAGCAACAGCAACAGCCTCCCTCTCTTGGCCCTGCTCACTTTAACCCCCTGCCGCTGCCGCCGCAGCAGCAGCAGCGGCAGCGGCAGCAGCAGCTGCTACTGCTGCTGCAGGAAAAGCGGGCGGAACGCGCATGCGTGTCAGGGGCCACCCCCTTTGATTTTGCTGACGAGGGCCCCCAAAGTAAAACTCAAGACGGAGTTGCTGGCAGCAGTAAATGCGGGGTGGCGTTCATAAAGGTCTCGCGGCTTGGGCCGCAGCAAAGGGTCCGGCTCCAGCAGCAAACGAATCATGTGCTGCAGCAGCGGCAGCAGCAGCAGCAGCAGCAGTGGCAGGGGAGGCGAGATGCAACGACAGATGCTGGGATGCGAGCTCGCGAACATACTGGAACAGCAGCTACACAAACACCAGCAGCGGCTGCAACAGAAGCGGCAGCAGCAGCAGCAGCAGAACTCGCAGCGGCAACAGCAGCAGCAGCAACTGTACGTACAAGGACGGCAACAGGAGTGTCGTAGCTGCAGCCGCTGAATTCGAGATCTTCTATTTTAACTCCAGCGATCCTCTCTGAAAAAAGAGAAAAAAGTGCTTCCAAAGCAGTAATACACGGGCAGCCCGAGCTGCTGCAGCAGGAGCCGCAGCAGCAGCAGCGGGAGCAGCGGCAGCAAGAGGGGCAGCAACAGCAGCAGCAGCAGCAGCCACAAGCGGACGCGGTCCCAGAGAAGCAGCAAAAGAAAAAATGAAACGAACTTCCCAATTCGTCGTGCAGGAGCTCGTCTGCGCCGTACGGCTTGGTGTACATACACCAGAGCTTGAAAAAGGAAACCCCCAGGGCCCAAGAGTCTTTTGCTTCTGTCAGTTTAATACTATTGTTGGCTTTTAAAGAACATTCGAAACTTTCCGGAGGCAAATAGGAAAGAGTTCCTTCCAAACACGCCGCCTCGTGCTGCAGCGGCTGAGGTGTACGTACACCCCAGAAGCACAGACACGCGACCCGCCCATCGCCAAACAGCCCAACTGCTCCTTTAAAAGTTACTCACGGTTGATCTAGAAGGCATGCGCCGCTAGCTAGCTAGCTAGCTAGCTACTTGGCTAGCTAGCTAGCCACCTACGTAGCTACCCGAATACAGGCGTGGGAAGGCAACTAGCCAGCTAGCCACCTAGCTGGCTAGCCAGAGGCCTCACGTGGGCAGGCGAATAGTACCTTGCTCAGCTATCCAGGTATCTGCCTGCTAGCTTGCTAGCTAGCTAGCTAAGTAGATAACTACCTAGCTGCCAAACCATCCAGCTGGCTGTCTATGCATCTAGCTAGCCAGCTAGCTAGCCAGCTAGCTAGCTGCTTAGCTAGATAGCTAGCTAGCCAGAGACTCACGTGGGCAAGCGAGTAGTCTCCCAGGAAGATCCTGCCGTCAGGCTTCACGAAGAAGTTTTGGGCCTTCACGTCCGAATGCACAAGCCCCATGTCGTGCATGCGCACCACAGCTCTGCAGCACATGCAGCAGCAATTCAGCAATCTAGCTAGCTAGCTAGCTAGCTGGAGCAGCTAGCTAGCTACGTAGCTACCTAGCTAGGCAGCCAGCTAGCTAGCTCGCCAGCTAGCTAGCTGGCTAGCGAGCTAGCTGGCTCCTTCGCTACCTCGCTGGCTCCCTCGCTAGCTAGCGAAAAGGCTGCACGGCTGCTTCGCTGGGCAGCCGGTCGGACTAAGTGGCTGGCTAGCTAGCTAGCTAAGAAGCTAGCTAAGTGCTTTGCTGAATACCTAGCTAAATGCCTAGCTAAATAACAAGCTACATGTACACCTATCTGCCTAGCTAGCTAGCTCTATGGGCAGCCATCTAGGTAGCCAGCTAGCTAGCTAGGTAGCCAGCTAGCTAGCTAGCTAGCCAGCTAGCTGGCTAGCTACGTGGATACACAGCTGCTTACAGAAGCATTTGCTTGGTCGCGGAGAGCTTTGCTGAGGCGGAGGCGCAGGATAGGCCCCGCAGCATGGAGAGGTCCCCTGCAGCAGCAAATGCACTCGGTGCACTAACGCTTCCAGCAGCAGCAGCAGCAAGGGCAGCAGCAGCAGCAACAACAGCAGCAGCACCACCTGCTGCTGCTCAAGGATGAAGAGAAGCCGCCTGCAGCAGCAGCGCTACCAGAACCTTCCCAACCTCAGCACTATGCGGACCAGCAGCAAATAAACAAGACCAAATAAACTAAAAAACAAAACAAAAAGAACAGATAAAATGAACAAAAAAAAACAACCACAAGTAACCACAACAAAGGAAGAACAGGA